TGAATAGTTGTGGCTTTTGAGGTGTGGTACTCCATGATGTGTTTTGGGAATGTTTGAAATAAAGAAAAACCCATGTAGAACAGTGGTTCGCGGAGTATATTTTAAAAGAAATGAGTTAGTGTAATTAGCGGATTGTGGCTATTATGATGATAATTGAACTAGGTGTATGTATTACACCCGTGTAATATTCTGTTGATTAGCTCATTATGCTTTTAATGTGATATTGTTTGGGGGTCCGTTTCGTGCCGTATTGCAACCGGCAAAGCGTGGTGCCTTGACTGAGATTTCCTCGTCCCTTTCGGTTTGCGCCCGTTAAAGTGTTAAAATAGGGTCCGATTCCCGCCATATCTTAGCTGGCAAAGCGTAACGCCTTGTGATAGGTTCTTCGTTCCCATCCGGTTTGCGCCCGATAAAGGATAACCTGAGAAGCACCTCCTTCCAGGTGAGGCCGGTAAAGTGTTGTGTGTTATCGGTATTGTTGGATCTGTCATCCGTGCTGTAGGCCGGTGAAGAAGAGATTGGTAGTACATATTACTTCAGTTATCTCGTTTGGATATTCATACATGTTGTCGGTTTTCATATTGTGGAGATGAGATTGGTAGTATGTGTTACTTCAGTTAACTTGTTTGAATGTATATATGTGTTAACGGTTTCATACCGGTCACCTTTTTAAATCCTTAGGCCTATGGTCAGGGAAGGTTGTAGATATATATGTTGGGATGTAAATGCTTATGGTGTATCGAAAGGTAGGATGGGAATTATGATTTGCATGTGGGGTTATATTTTCATAACGGTGGTTCAAGTGAGATTCTTTTATGTTAACGTGAGAAGTTTTATTAAAGAAAGAATGAGGCTTTAAAATATTTTCTTTTGGAAGTAATGATGGGAATGTGAAAGAGAAGAATTGATTTCATACTGAAATGCATTAAGAGGAACATTTTGAGAAAATATAGTCCTATGTGTATATTTTGGATATTAAATGTCAACACTACTTATATGATATATCTTGATGCATTCATGATCATTTTTATCTATATGTTGCGATTGCTTAGGATCTTTGGGATCTCTATTGGGCTTAATGTTCATCCCACGTGTTGATAAACTTTTTCAAGTACAAGGCTAGAGGAATCATGTATGACTTGAAGTCTTTAATTGATGGCCACGGGGCCCTTTGTTTGTTGGCTGTGTGCCATGTATTGTATAAAGGTAAATCCCTTTTGTTTTATTTATTGTCATTCAATGTAAGCCTGAGGGTATTGTACCATGACTTATTTATATCATCATTGTTGTCGTAAAAGAATGTTATTATTTATTCTTGTTCATATTCTCAAATAAATGGAACTATTATGATGGGTTTGGTAATAGATTCGGCTAATAAAAGTCAGGGCATAACAAAAAGTAATGTTTGGAATGAAGCAACATAGGTAGAGGTGTAAATCTGGCCAAGCCCATGTCGAGCCCTACGAGCTCCCGCCAAAATTCGGGCCGGGCCGGCCCACAAGCCAAAAAATTAGGCCCAGGGGTATTTGGGCCTCAAACTGGTCGACCCGGTGGGCGCGGGCATGGCCTAAAGCTTAGACCGGGCTTGGGCAGGCCAGACCATTTTTTTTACCAAAATTTTATTATTTTCCACTAAAAAAGACACTAGGCCTCAAGCGAGCTTGGCCTTGAGTAGGCCTTAAGTGGGCCGATGGGCTGGGCTGGGCCAGGCAGGTCAGGCCCACGAGTTGGGCTAAGCTTCAAAATGATGGCCCAAGGACTCAGGGAAAAATTAACAGAAGTGAAGTATTTGTATATTGTCAGCTAATAATTTTTAAAACTTCAGGAAAGGTCCCTGTAATTGTCATAAACCTAAAGGGAGGTTAAATGTAATTTACCCCAAGTGTAATAAATTATAAACCTCAATTAATTAATCTTCCTTATAACCTAAGTTAGTAAACATTTATTGCATATAATCTTAACTCTAACTCTAATTCACTATTCCCAAAGCATTATTATTATTATTATTATTATTATTATTATTATTATTATTGTTAATTTAGGAATTGGAAAGTATTCATTAAATGGATAGATTTGATATATTTGAAAAACAAATAACTAATTCAATATTTTTACATAGAATAGTGACTTTATTTTTTGTATTTTTTTAATCTATGAATTGGAAAATATTTACTGAATAGATGGAGTGGATATGTTTGAAGGACCAATAACTAATTCAATGATTTTACATAGATTAGGGATTGTAATATAATTTTAAAAATTGGCTCAAATTTGAAAAATTCTAAATCAATTAAACTTCGTTGAACGGAATCGTTTCAATTGGTGCAATTTGATGCGGTTTGATGAGAGAAACAACCTATCGGGGTTCCAACATCACTCTTTATTTTACATATTTATTCACACAAACTAGTTTAAAGAGCCTTTTAAGGCTCTCCTAATATAGCTAGCTTGGAAGAATTTTGTTAAAATGACTACTGCATTAATTAATCCGTTAGAGAGAACAAAAAATGATGAGATTACTTATAACACTTAACAAGTGTTTTTTTTTTATTTTTTATTTTATTTTTTTTGGAAAAAGAATCTAGTGAGGATGCTCTTGTGTAGCACTTTTAGTTCTTCCCAAAAAGAAACTGGGGCCCGGTGTCACATATACACATTAATCAATTATTTTTTTCTCACAACTATCTATTTAACTAAAAAAATCATTTTGAACACACTAATTTTTTTTTTTTAGCTCAAAAAAAAAAAAAATCAAGTTGTCAAACGGGCATTGAATTGTCAAAACTTATTCCACAAATATGCTTTCTAGATGTGGGTAAGGATCCTGCTTACTACCACCATAAAGGCATTGATTAAGAATATAATCTTACCGCTAAGAATATAATTTGAATCTACGGCAGATCTATAACTTAATGTGACAGTTACTTTTTTTTCATATATTTATTAAATCTTACCAGTAAAATAATGCACTTCTCATATATTTTAATATATATTTTATCTATATTCTATCCTTAACCAATGCCTAAGAGCATCCATAATCGGATCACTAAGGATCCTCTAGAGTGAAATTTTCCTAAAGTTTCCTAGAGTGCTACATTGTGTGGTTGAGATTTACTGACAAGTCACATCAATTTTTCTGATGTGACTTGCCAGTAAATCTCAACCACACAATGTAGCACTCTAGGAAACTTTAGGAAAATTTCACTCTAGAGGATCCTTAGTGCACCTCCGGTGGCTAGCGCTCCTCTTCCCTCCGCCCCTGCAAACCAATCATCTTCTTCCTCAAGAAATCTATGAAAATAGGTTCCTAGAACCAAACCATAGAGAACCCACAATTCCAAACACCATTAGAAGACCACAAGCAACTTGTTCCCATTCTTCAAATCCACCATCTCTTCAAACCTTCTCCAAATCCAAACCCCAAAACCCTTCTTCTTCTTCAACCTCTCTCATCTTTCTCTGTTCCAGTTCCTTACACTCACTTTCACACACACACATACACGCATACATATATATATATATATATAGAGAGAGAGAGAGAGAGAGAGAAGATAAAAGAAGAATATATGGAGGAAAAGGATCACCTAAACATGTTTGTGAAGCTCCACCAAACCCAAAAGTTCCAACAACAACAACCTCTCCATTATCTCCACTTCAACCCTTCCTTTACTTTTCAATTATTATTTATTTTATTTATTGTTTATATATATATATATATATATTCTTAATACACATCTTAACACATCCATTGTACCACCACTTACTCTCTAAAATTAACAAACTCTTAACACACCTCAACACATATTTTTGGATCCCACTTTTATCACTTTTTGTCATATAATATACACTTTAACACATTTTTTTAGCCATCCCATTAATGAAATTTCTTTGTCATATAATGAAATTTCCCATTACAAATGTGCAATGAAAATTATCGTAATCCAACATTTGAAATGTAGAACAGTATAAGACATTAACAAATGTACCAACATAACACTACCTAAAAAAAATGCACCAACATACATTATTATTATTAGGTGGTATAATTTACATACAAGTCTTTAGGTCTTAATTATGCTATGTTTGGCAGGTTAGTTTTGGGTTAAAATAGCCACAAAAAGACAAAACAAGCTAAAAAATTAATAAAATAAAATGTCACATTCAAATCATAATCACTTCATTTTTTTCTCTTATAAAAGTCAAAAAAGTCAAAAAACCTATACCAAACAAGACTTTTTAGCCTTAGGCTAAAATAACCAAAAAACCAAAAAGTTAACTCACATCCCAAATGAAGGTTAATATACTAATTAGTGCAACAAATGTTTTGCTAAAATGTCCAAATCTCTGGAGCAACATGAGGTCTTGATTGGTCTTGCATTAGACCATCTCCAATAGTTCATCAAATTTAAATTTAATGAAAAAACTTACTTTTTGCTCCTCTAAGGGCATCTTTAACGGTTCACCAGAAATTTTATCAAATTTGAATAAAAAAAAAAATAAATTTCTCAATTTGATATTAGTCACTCCAACAGTGAATACTATAACTTTCATCAAGGCACTAGACATCCGGAAGGACAACCGGCCGGTCGACCGAAAAGAGGTAAAGTCTAAATTTGTTTTTGCAGCATCCTTGGAGACTTCATCGGACTTCTCTTTTTCAACAGAGAATGGATGGTGTTTGGCTTTGATACCCAAGAGAGAGAGAGAGAGATGAAGATTTTAGCAAAACCCATGTCGAGTAGTCCGAGCAGGATAGACAAGTTTCCACCGCAATTGATGAGATTTCTGAGAAGCAATGTTGGAAGCAAAAGCAGAGGCAAGTCTCGCTCGAGCGCAATGTTCATGCGCAAGAAGAACAACACCACCACACCAATGATCGAAACGACCCAAGAACCATCTTCCCCAAAAGTCACTTGCATCAGCCAAGTTTGAGCAAGTGTTTGTGGTTTTTTCAATTTGGGTTTCGTAGGAAAGTTGAAATTAGAGAAGTTTCGTCGAAAATGGAAACGAATGGGAAAGAAAAGTACAAAGAAAAGGAGACAGAAGATGCAGAAGATGAAGCTCAAGAAGAAGAACTACCAAGAAAGGCTTTGAATTCTTCTTTACCACCCAAGAATGCTTTGCTTTTAACTAGATATAGATCTGCTCCAAACAGATCTTCATCATTGGCCAGCAGATTTCTAGGTCCGCCATTGGGGACCTTAGAAACAGAGGACGATAATGGAGAAAACAGAAAACTAGAGAAACCCGCATCGGAGGACGAACTCAATTGCAAAGATTCAACTTTAGAATCGAAAATGGATCAAGAAAACGAAACAAATTTGGAAGATTCCGGAGAAATTGAAGGTTCAATTTCTGGAAAAACCAGAGAAATTAGTGATCAAGAACCAGAAATAGGAAAAGGAGACAATGCTCGGCCTCTGATACTTACAAGGTGTAAATCTGAGTTACTTATTTTTGTGGGAATTGTTGAAGTAACCGGATGACCGGCGGGAAAACCGGCCGAACATCCGGCCGGTAGTCTGGTGTGTCAAATCATCAACGGTCTTGCACAGTAAACTGGTGAAAGATGTCCAGATCCTTAGTTTGGTGAAATATTTACTATTTTTTCAATTTGATATTGATTTGGTGAAATCATTGGAGCACAAAAAAGATATTTTTTCACCAAATTTGAATTTAATGCTGGATTTGGTGAAGTGTTGGAAACGGCCTAACGGTTTCATTAAACCCATCATCAAATCTAGAATTTCACTTTTCTTTCATCAAACTCAAAAACAAATATATCTTTCATTAAATCACTATACATTGCCGTTGGATTTTCACCACCGAACATCCCTCGAATGACCACCTCAAGGCAAAAATTCATCAAAAAATTACACTAGCCGGTCATCCGTCCGATTATCCTCCCGATCGACCACTGATTTGATGAAATTATAAAACTCTCCATCAAAATACTTGATATCAAAAGGAGATTTTATTCAAATTTTTACTTAAATTTAATAAAAAAAATTGATATACCATCTAAGATACCCCTATGAATTTCAATATCATAGCTTGATCACACTTGATCAAAGCTTGATCACAGACAAAGTGCAAATTTAGAAAGAAAAAACAAAACAAAATTCCTTCGGTTTTAAATCAAATACTATTGGATCTACAATCAGACAATGATTACACAAATCCCAAGGCCATCACCAACCATATTTTAAGTTTTTGTGAACAGAGTAATTTAGAAATTTTGAGACGATAATCTTGTCTCCACATAAGTTGTTCATCTTTATCCTAGGACAAAATAATCTTGTCTATACAGGACAAAATGAATCTCAAAATAAATTATTCCGAGTCATAAAACCTGAGAATAGCTCCTTAAACTCTTGTCCTCCATATTTTATATTTTATTTTTTAAACTCCATTTTAAAATCACGTTAATAATTTAAATCATTCATCTCATAATTTTAATAATTTATACAAATTACGCAAAACATTAATTTCATCGAATATTACTAAATATATGAATAAATTACATCTTATTTTTTTAAATGAACAGTAATTATGAATCTAAACTTAAACCTTACATTTTATAAAATAAAAAATAATTTGTTTATGCATTCATCAATATCCAATGAAATTGATTTTTTACTTAAACGATTTTTATTGTGAGATTTACAAAATGAACAATTTAGATTATCATTGTGGGTCTAGAATAAACCTTAAAAAAAATTATGAAAAAAATATAGAGGATAAGAATATAGAGGGAAGTCATTCTCATAAAACCTAAACTAAACACAGGATAATTTTATTCTAATAAAATAATCATTACCCCATCTCTTATCCACAAACGAAACGTGGCATAATTTCCCTAGTGCAACCCAAGAGAGAGATGAAAATCAAATCAAACCTTTGAATTGCAATTCAAGAGGAACTCCTGCAATTAATCATTTTAACAATTTGGTACATACACTATCAAGTACAAAATTGAAATTGAGTTCACAAGGCAATGTTATTCCCATAGCAGCTGATGGTTTAATCCCCAAAGGCAATACAAGTACAAATATATATTTCCATAAAAAAAAGGCAGTTTCATGTTATACAAGGATGAGGACTAATAAACTGCACTTTTCAAAATTTATAGTTCTGAGCTTACTCAGATTTCCGCCATGGCCTTCCAAGCTTTCCAAATCTGCCATTCCGTAAGGTACTCAATTTCTTTTTTTCTCATTTGTGCTGCTCATATATCTGCATATAAGCTTCGGAGAGGGCAACCATCTGAGGAAGAGTTTCTGACACGTGCAGATCCTGCATCTCATACCTATATAATACATAATGAATATGCCAAACTGGTCAGTTCAAAGAAATTCGGAATTTTCAATCAAGTTTTATAAAGGGAAATCCTACCATAGCTCTTCTGATTTCCGCTGTACAAATACCCTGTAGGATCCTTCACCTGGCTTGCCATCATGAACAATATTTGCAATCAAATCATATTTTGAACGCAATTTCTCGTTCTCTTTGGGTGTTGGCAAAGGAATGTAATCTTTCAGCTCCAAATTCTTCACAGGGAAATTAACTGTGAGACCAAAAAAAAACACTCCAGTAAGAAACACAAGCAGCCAATTAACCTTATTAATATAGCTGGAATTGACATTTTAATAAAATTAGAATCTGTTACAGAAATTTTCCAAAATTATGGAGCTCATTTGCCATGAGGGACAAGTAGAAAAGAGAAATGGCACATAAAACTGCAAGCCAGTTTTGAATTTCTATACCCATACTGAGCTCTTTGTCGCCTTTCAGAGTCAAAAAGGTAGCAAAGAAAGGGTTAAAGGTCGCCAAATGTGAGGTCAAAGGTCCCAACCTTTCCCAAACCTCACTCACTAGCATGATACATTATAATATTTGGCCAACACGCTACACATTCAGCTTATGACCCAAGAAGTAATTTCAAGTCAAAAGTAGAATTCAATACGCTATTTCGCGGGTATTAAGCAATAAGTCACAAAAGAAGTAACACAAATTTCAGCCAGAAAATGACAATCTTGAGTGACCCATAGAACCATTTTCCAAATCAGTTTTTTTTTTTTTTTCCAAATGCTGTGATAAATAAGGGCAAGTGACAATTTACCACCCAGTTCCGTTACAAATTTCAAGTTCATATTTCAACAATATGGTACTCACCAAGAGTAGGATTTTTTTCCACAAAGAAATTGTTCTTTGTAAACCGCCGCATGTGGAGAATTAGATACTGTGGCAGTCTGGTAACACGATATCTCATCCTTGCAATACGAGGACGCACAACTTCTGTGACAGACTCACCATCAAACTTCTTCAGTATGTTGAAAAGTGGAACCTATGAGCATACAACAAGAAATAATGAGTTCATATAGAAAATTAAGCTAACAACAAACACACTAGAACATTTATTACACCTGGAGTCATCTTTTATTAGCTTCCTTTAGGCCTACCAACATTCTACACCCTAGGAATTAATGCTACACTATACTCTTTAAGGCCAAGATCATACTAACAGACAAGACATTTTCTCAAATAATATAACACTATGAGGCTCATTTTATTTCAGTAACAACCCAGTACCAAGATAAGACATATCTATCTTACGAAAAAATTGACGATACCAACCATCAATATAGTGATGCAAAGCATGAACTGGATGAGGTATTTACCAGAAGCCAATATAGATGGAAGAAGCACTAATCTTGAAACAATTAAATATAAAGGCTAGTTGAATTGGCTGAACTTTAGGACATGGATTTTTTTTTTTCTTTTTTATGGTAAAGCTCGCAGAAACAAATAAAGAAAACATAATACCAATTGTTTATACGTTATTTAGGTGGAGTGTCTGTCTTTATTGGTTGGGGATGGGAGTGTTGTAATGCCCCGAAAGTAAACCAACATGAATTGACCACATCAATCCTCAATTTCTAGGGTTTTCATCAAAAACCCAACATTTGCCCACTTCATAGTGAAACCCAACCCAAAATCACATTTCTTGAGTCAAATGATAGGAAAGCCCTCTAGGAGGAACAAAAGAGTTGAGATTTAAACCCACTCTCAAAACCCTCCAGGTTTTTAAATCTCAAAATAAAGATGAACATGAGATCTTCAAGAAAACTTATAAAATCAACATATATATAGCAAAACATGTATATATGACTCAAGAAGTCCCTACCTCAAAGTTTTTGATGAGCAAGAAGAGTTGAAACCCTAGGAATGATGGTGCCAAGAACCAAACCTCCACCTCACACAAGAGAGCTCTTGAGGAGTTCTATATCTTTGATGTAGAAACTATGGTTAGATTCCAAGTGAATGGAAGAGGATCAAGTGGTTTGATCTTGTTTTTGAGGTAGAAATGTAGAAAGAAGGGAGAGAGATGTATTTTTAGAGAGAGAGAGGGGTGTAGCTAAAGTGATACATTCAGCCAAAATAGAGAAATAAAAACAGGGATTTCAGACTGCCAGTCGTCCCGCATGTGCGGCACGTGCCCCGCACGTGCGGCCCCCAACCCCGCACGTGCAGCCCTCCCTGCACCTGCATATATTGCAGTGTGCTGCCCCAGCTTTCCCCTGAAATCCGCATGTGCGGCCTCACTCCCCGCACAAGCGGCCCTCTCCCGCACGTGCGGCCCTAGGCCTCTGCACATGCGGCTAGCCAAACAGTCCAGAAAAAAAAATTTGGTTCAACCCCCGGGCGCTCCGGACCTAACCTCCCGCTCTCCGAAACAAGTGAAAATCAACACCGGAATAAATTTTGAGAGAACTTCCGAACATCTCAAATCCATAAGGATTAACAAGGCTCTAATCAAAACTTGACACACTAGCAAGGCAAAATCGAAGTTAAACAAGAGGAACAAGACGGATAACACACCGGGCCATCACAAGTGTTGTCCTAGACAATAGCAAGCTGTGAAGCATTTGCAAATGATCAGCACATCTATGCCCATTCATAGCCATATGTAACCTTCAAATTTGGCATCCCCATCAAAAACAATGAGCGAAACCCAAGTATCACAACTATCAGCAAAGGAGGGGGTAACTATCAGCAAAGGAGGGGGTTTTGTGCCTGCATGCATGAATGTGATGTCTGAGTCAAGCAAGTATTGACATCAATCACAACTACACAATTACACCCCACCATCTCACTCAAAAGAACACGCTATCCAATTTGCCCATGTATATTTTAAATAGCTAAACATCATTGAAGAGCTTAAGGCATATCCTTTAACAAACATTCCTTTCTGTTTACTTATTGCCCCCATCTTTAAACCTGCAATGGTTAGCACCAAAACCCCATCTGGAGTAGATCAATTCTTTCTCTGTTCCTTGCGCACATGTGCACACACCAAATTGAAAAACACTAGGAAGATGAAAATGTCATCTCTGTGGTCATGCAACAGATTTATAGGCAAATATATAAATGTGTTATTGCCAGAGACAGAAAGACTGCACCATGGCTCATTAGTTATTTATAATGTGGAAGTACATATCTACCCTCGTAAGCTAGAAGCAAAATGCAAGGACAACACCTCATCAATGGCTTCTCTGAAGCTTTCACTTCTAATGAATTCCCCAATAATAATCTATCTACATAAAAAAACCTCCAGCCATAACACTCTCCAAAATGCCTGTTCCACGCCAATGCTGCTCGTATTCTAGACTCATTGGAAGCAAAAATGTCACAGCAACAAGAACACAGTTCTCAGGTTCTTTCAGTGAACTGGGTTTTTTGCTCATGTCTACCGTAGTTGATAGAGTAAAAATGAGTGGAAAACAAAATCATCAGTAAATGACACTACTGGAGATGGAAAAAATCATTTCAGCCCGATGTCATGACCAGCCAAATGGGTTTTCAGATTACGGCAGGTTTAAACAAGGCTGAGTTTATTCATTGAAAGCTTGATTTGGATTGATTTCATACAATTTAATTTGGATTGATTTCTATAATTTGAGGAATGAATCCTCAAAATTGTTTAGTGTTTGACATGATTGATTTCTATCATGTTGGTGTTCAACACGACACAAAACGCCACCTTCTCTAAAGTGTCCATGCTTCTCAGCCTAAATTATAACTAATTGATGCATTGATTATCTTAATTGGACAAAATGTTTAATTAAATGAATTATGCATGATGATTAACATAGCTTGATATGCAAACCAGTTTTCTAACAAATTTTCCTATAAGGATGCATTATAATTAATAAATATTTTTTTTTAATTATTTTATTTGGCCACACAATGATTAGGAGTGAAAATGAGCCGAGCCGAGCCGAGCCGAGCCGAGCCGAGCCAATTGATTGTTCAAATTTGGCTGGCTGGTTCATATTTGAACTACACTTGAGCTTGATCCACATTTAGTTATTATAGCTAGTTATTATTGCTTGAGCTCAGTTCCATACCTCACACAATAAGTTCAAAGTGGGCTCGCCTTGGCTCAATAAAAATTACCACCAACCAATCTAGGCAATAAAATCGTGTAAATGTAAGGCAAGATGTTCCATAATTGCACGAAGCGACTTAGTGGAATAGACTTGGAGAGAGAAAGTAATGGTGGCCCATCCCTCAGACAACACCATCACGAACAACTCTCACACCCCAGGTGACCTTCGCGAACCTTCTAATCAACGAAAATTTGCTAAGGAAGAGGATCATCTCATCAGAAGTACAATAAAAATCAAAAGTTCCGATGTAGACAAGAAAGACAGCATGACAAATGTCTCTGATGGATATGGAAGTACTCCATGAAGTTCATGGAGACCAAGAAGCTGCAGCCTTGGGTCCTCTCCCCCCCAAATCCTTCAAAGAGGCTCTGGCCACTAGCAAAAATAGTGACTATACATTTGATAGTCGAGTGGAACTCCTCTCGTCTGACGAAGAAGATGATGTTGATCAAGCGGGTCACTCTAGGATCCAGAACACTTATCCACAGCACCGGGGCCTCCCCACCATACCTCTACCTAAGAAGCTACTAGAGAAGATCAGAAAACCCTGGGAAAATGCCCTAATTATCAGACTGCTGGGCAAGAATATCGGGTACAGAATGCTCTGCTCTAGGGTTAAGAATATTTGGGGCCTCCAGGGTGAATTTAATGCTATTGATATCGGCTGTAATTACTTTATCTTTAAATTCTCTGAGCAGGAAGATTGTGCTCGAGTCTTCACAGGAGGCCCATGGGCTAGGAAGCATGGATACGAATACGAGATACGGGTACGATACGATACAGATACGGTGATACGACAAAATTTGAAAAACTAGGATAACAGTACGGCAGGGATACGTTTATAAAAAATATTATTTTAACAATTTTTAGTAATGTAGCATACATAAAAATAAAACTTCAACAATTTTTAGGACATTTTAAATATGTATGAACAAATAAGTGACATATATTTATTTTAAATATGTATGAACAAATAAAGTGACATACATTTATTTTAATTATAACTTTTTAGGACATTTTTTATATTTTTTGCACAAAAAAAAATGTGACAATTTATTTAGCCAAATAGATTCAACTTTTTTCATAACCAAACGCATTTACAACTTATTTTAATTCTTTTAAACTAATAATCAAAAATTTTATAAATATAAAAGCTAATATATATATGATACCAAATAGGCCAAAACAGGTTACAAATATACTAATAAAAAAAATTAAAAAAATGTATATCAAATGGGGCCAAAATAGGGCATTACAGTCTACAGTCTATAGAGATCGAAAGGGAGAGCGAGAGGCGATAGAGGGAGAGGGAGAGATCAACCGAGACGGAGAGAGAGAGAAAGAGAGTCAGATCGACTGAGATCTGTCCATCCAGACTAGAGAGATCGAGCGAGAGGGAGAGGGAGAGGGAGAGGGAGGAGAGAGTGAGATCGAGCGAGAGAGAAAGAGAGAGGGGGCAAAAGGAAGAGAAAGAGGGACAAACCTGATCGATCGATGAGCTGTTGTTCGATGAGTTGCTGGTTAGTTGGTAGAGACGACGACGACTCCTCTCCTCTACTACTGCTGTCGCAACCTAGGTAGGGTTTGGTTGATTTATTTTTTTGTTTTATTTTAGCTTACTTTTGTTATTTTATAGTTTGACCCCCATTTTTAAGTTTTTAAAATTACTTTTTTGCCCCACCGTATCTCGAAAGTATCCCGACCGTAACCATGAAGTATCCTCACGTATCCCAAACGTATCCAAAATTTAAAAAATTAAAAAAAAATAAGATGCTTCTTTTGTTGTATCTGATACGTATCTCGCCGTATCGAATGCGTATCCGTATCCGATACGTATCCGATATGCGTACGGGGACCATTTCGGAGTATCCGTGCTTCATTGCCCATGGGTCAT